TGTAACCATAAAGGCTGCTGTGTAATTTGCCCCCTGACTAAGCATTTAAAGAATTTAGGGGAAGCATTTAAATAATCCTGTGAATGCACTTAAAGAATGCAGAATCGAATCATTAATCGAATCGAATATAATTTAATTGTGAATCGAATCGTTCTGAATTTGCAAAAATCATTCTTGAATCGAAAACCTATGAATCGTGAATTGAATCGATTCGCTGTCTACCCAAAGATTCACAGCCCTAGTAGGGCTGCAAGATTAATCGAAATTAAATCGCCAAGGTGATAAATCGCAATTAGGCAGAAGCTGCGATTGTCATGCATATCTTTCAGTGAAGCACGGTTCTGTGATCAGCAGTAAATCTCCATTCGAAGGCCAGAGGGGGCTCTCGCGCCTTTATAGGGTAAACCAACGTAGTGGGCAATGAAACAAACCATGAATGTGTGGTCAAAGAGAAACGAATTGAACAACGTAAATGGGAACTGTGATATTGGAGGCACAGGTGTCGCGTCCAGCAAGATCTATCAGTTTATAAATAAATAAATACATTTCCTTCACAGCCTACAATTCTGCCCCTAATAAAAACATTTTTAAAAAGTTTACCAAGGAGACAACAGTTTTAATGAAGAGCTTGGGAAATATAAGATGCAGTATGACAACCAAGGATAAAATGAAGGTAAATAACATGTGTGAACAAATTTTTTTTATTGTTTGTCATTTTCCAATTAAGCTGTCATTTGTTTTACACCACACCATCCTCAACTGTGCCTGTAGATTAGGGTAAGTTAATGAACATGATGAATACTTACTCTGTATGTTGACAGGTCAATACGGAGAGAGTTATGGAGCTGATCCAGCAGTCTAACAAACCGATCTTTCTGCATTAACAGAGAGAAAAATGAATCAGTGGTGAGTAAAGTTAAACAAACAAGCAAAAATGATTGGCTGTTGCTTTCTGTATTTGGAAAGGCAAAGTATGATTTAGTTACAGAGTCAGATCAAAAATTTTAAAGCCCCACAAGAGTGTTTCTCTGACAACAATCTCCCTTTTGAATGGAATCTAGACCTTGAGCCAAGGATGCAGAGCGTGGACACACATACACACATGAACAGAAACATCCCGTAAAAACACACCAGAGACAGGCTTTTGGATAAATCCATCTCATGGCAATGGGAAAACCTGAAAGGGAATCAAAGGGTCAGGGACACTGACAAGGTCTCAGTTATTCACCATGTTGTATCTTTTCAAAATCCTTGTATCAGCAAAACTGATACAGCAGAAGGGTCCAGGACAAGAAAGGGAGGAGATGGGAGCGTTTGTGCTGTGCACAAATCCAAGCAGCTGTATTTATCCTTAGATAGAATCAGAGGCTGCCATGACAGCATCTTCAGCTGTGTCGTATGAGAGCCTCAGTGGGTTTGGGATCAACGGTTTTATATGACTCTGATTATAACAATCAAACTCACGATCACTCTGTGATCAAATGTGACATTATATCGTATACAACAGGTATTTCTGGTCTTTGAATTTGGCTGAGCTACATTCCAAAAGCACTGACATTTAGTCCAATAGCACTAAGACTTTTCAATGATTGCATTGCTTTTCTGTGTTTGCATGTTCAAGACAGATGATTAGTCTGTACATTAGCTGTGGGGATTTTTCAGTGACTCTTTCTACAGACTATATTGGTACACTATGCATCGGTATCATCCAACTACTCAGTAGTTGAGACTACTTTTCAAAGGTTTGAGGTTTATACGATTTTAAAATGTATTTAAAATTGTATTATATTTTATATGGATTTTAGAAATATATTAAAACAGTAATATTGTGGGAAATATTACTATTTAAAATAAATGTTTTAGTATACATTTAATATTTATTTAATATGAATCTATGTCTATTTTAATATATTATTATTAATATAATTTATTCCTGTGGTTTCAGCAGCCACTACTCCAGTCTTCAGTGTCACATGATCCCTCAGAAATCATTCTAATATGCTGATTTGGTGCTCAAGACACATTTCTTATTATTATTCATGTGGAATACAGTTGTGTTGCCTAATATTTTTTGAGGAAAAGGGGGTACTTAAAAAAAAAAAAAATGCTTTCATGAATAGAAAGGTGAAAATAATTTATTTGAATAATTATTTCAAATATACATCTTTTATGACAACATATATTATTTTATAAAAAATAAATAAAAAAAAACTTTGAACGGTACTATACGTTTTGACAACAGCTCAGTTTTATTAAAGGGGTCATATGATGCGATTTCAAGTTTTCCTTTCTCTTTGGAGTGTTACAAGCTGATTGTGCATAGATAAGATCCCTGAAGTTGCAAAGACTAAAGTCTCAAAACCAAAGAGATATTCTTTATCAAAGTTAAGACTCTGCGTAGCTTTTATAATAAGATGGTACTTTATAATAAAAGGATTTATTTTTGGCATTTTTGCCTTTATAATGAAAGGACAGTAGCTAGACAGGAAGAGAAGTGGGAGAGAGAGAAAGGGGGATGGAATTGGGAAAGGTCCATGAGCGCACAATGGCGCTATATGTCAGTGTGCTGCTCACAAGGCTATTGGCACCACACGAGAAGGTACCTTTTCATTCAGTGACAAAGAAAATGTAACGCTACGTTGCTATTTTTTGTCATTGTTTTGAGAAGCTTTACTGTCGATGCACCCAGAGAATAATCAAACCCTAAATTGTCCTTACAGTGGTCAGGCCATATTGGCTGTGTGCGATGCTGAGTTAGCATTACCCCAAAGTTGGAGGCAGTGAAGCGGTCACAGGCGGAGACATTGGTGACTGAGGTGGGATGAGCGTAGAATGCGTTGATGTTGGCCAGGAGTGTGCTCATTACCGCAGGGACACCAGGCAGCATGTATTTATAGGACAGACATGCAAAATGCCTACAGGTGGACAGACAGACATCCAGTAAGAAACTGAGAATGTATTTCTACAACAGCTATGCAGTCCTTCAATTGTGATTCAGTACTTCTCACCAAAACAAGTCCCACTATTGAATAGACAGAAATCTAGGTTAGTATTTATTTATTTAATAATTATAATTATTTATAATTAAACTGTTAATTAATATTCTGTTTGGCAAGGTGTACAACTGAACTCAAATGGTTAGAGAGTCAGACTTGTAACCCAAAGGTCGCGGGTTCGAGTCTTGGTACCGGCAGGGATTGTAGGTGGGGGGAGTGAATGTACAGCGCTCTCTTCCACCTTCAATACCACAATCCTGTCAACAGCAAAGGACCTATAACTGTCAGAATACAGACAAAATGCTCCAGGGCTTACGTCATGGCCTGATAGATGGATTCTATTCCGTAGCGCATGGCAAACTCGTCTACAATACCCTGAGCAACCTCATCAAAGTAGACCTTCCAGGCATCATCTCCTCGTGCTGTGGGCAACTTCACCACACCTTGTCCTTCAATGTCTGTCACAAAGTGAAAACAATTCTACAAAAAAGAGAGGGAGAAAGAGGCAAAGTGATGTGTTTTGCTATATAAACTATTGTGTTTGCTTTCAAGTATACAGTAAATTTATTAAATATGAATTATGTTGGGTTCAGATTTTAGCAAGATTTGTAATATTTTTGCAGCCTTATTCTCAGCAAGGCTGCATTTATCTGATGCAAAATTCAGTTCACATTGTACAACATAACTGCAATTTAAAAGTGTTTTCTATTTGAATATATTTTAAAATGTAATTTATTCCTGTGATGGCAAAGCTGAATTTTCAGCAGTCATTACTCCAGTCTTCAGTGTCACATGATCCTTCAGAAATCATTCTAATGTGCTGATTTGCTGCTCAAGAAACATTTTGCATTATTATCAATGTTGAAAACCGTTGTGCTGCTTAATATTTTTGTGGAAACCATGATACATTCTTGAATAGTTCAAAAAAGAAAAAGTTTAAAACAACAGCATTTATTTCAAGCAGAAATCTTTTGTAACAATATGAAGGTTTTTTGTTGTCACTTTTGAACAATTTAATGCAACCTCGCTGAATATTAATTTATTTTACAACACTTAACCCCACATATTTTGAATGGTCATGTACACAGGCATTTGTCAAAGTGGTGTGTGTAGGGGTTTACCTCGTGCAAACAAGTGTACTGAACATGATAAGGGGCCACTTTCTCTTCCCCTTTAATTTCCACACTTATCTGCAGTCTGATGGCCCCTGATACCGCTGACTTGTCTGTGCGTTTTTCTGCAAAAGATTAAACATGGCTGTTACATATCTGATATAAAAGACAAGTCTCCATTTATCGCATCTCGTCCTAATGATGACCCTTGACCAAAGTCTAGTAGTAGATTAACATTCAGCAGTGACATTTAATTAACTTTTATTTCAAGAGAAAACAAACAGTATCTTCAAATGTATCAGACTCAAGATTTTAAAATGAAAACTAATATTGAATATTTTATCAGAAACAATGTATCGTTTTAGGAAGCCATTTTACTGAACAGATTAGACATAAATGTACTGAGCTCTAATGAAAATCAAAACCGAAGAACAACTTTCTCATTTCTATGATATTATTATGCTAAGAGAGAAGCAGCCATGTGGCCACAGACTAGTTAAACCATCTGACTGACTGTAAAATGTCCAGTACCAACGTTCGACATATTTAATTCATTATGCAAGTTTTCATGAATAGCTAAAGTAAAATTTGCCATATTTCACAGTTACAATCTTATATCTTTGATCTAAATGTATGCAAATCATTCCATTATATCACTTTTATGGGATCAGGCTTATTATAACTTTAAAAATTAAATAAGAAATAGTATGTTATTACAAATTACAGTTCATATTTTAGGCACAGATCAGTTATGACCTACACTGCAATCGCAACATTTAAACAGAAAGATGGCTTAATTTCTTGTGCGACATACATTTAGTTTGTAGTCCTAAAACTCAGAAAACGACCACGGTGTAGTCAAGGGTTCTCTCGAGAATTTCTAATGGGTTTTTCGAATATCAGTTTTAGATTTATGAGAAATATAAGGTCTTCATTAGCCCTCATGGAGCAACTTTAGCTTTAGTTTTTTTAACAACTTGCATTAAAGCACATGAAGGTTTCAAAATTCATGTCTGAGATGTGACAGAGTGTAATTTATTTTGTAGAACAAAACATAAAACCCTTTCAAAATTCCAGAGGGGGCCCACAGCAAATTAGACTTCAAGTCTGTCTACAAATTGATGTCGTGACTGTACAGCCGTATATGAGGAGTGCTACTTTCAAAGCCCCAGAGAATAGAAAAAAGATCATTTAAAGAAATCAAATAACACCCCACAATGAAACATACATAGACCGAGGAACTTACCAAGGTTGTACCAGACATCCATTTCTCCGCTGAGGGTTCGGACCTCGATAATGCTCTGACCCAAAAAGTCATCAGATTCCCTCTTCAGACGCTGCTTCACACGAGACTTTATATCGTCATCTTCATCCCATACACGCAGTTTAATGCGGTCAGATGAATTGTGGCACTCACTAGGGAATGAAAGGGTAAAGTTGTGAACAAATCACAGCTGCTTAAAAAAAGAGAGCTGTTATTACAACACAGTCAACAACTATTCAATATTAACACAAGTTGCTATATTTTTGACAACTGTAAATGGTGTAGTTATGTTAATGAACTAAACTGTATTACTTGGAAGAATTGTTTACTGTATTATTAAAAACTAATTTATTCAATAAACTAAGGATTAGCTCATTTTTATAAAAAAAAAAAAACAAAAAAAACAAATAAAGGGATAGTTCACCTAAAAATTAAAATTCTGTCATCATTTACTCATCCTCAATTGTTCCAAACCTGTATGAATTTTTTTCTTCTGTTGAACACAAAAGATATTTTGAAGAATTTTGGTAATCAAACAACCAAAAGTTGGTAGCGACTGACTTCCATAGTATTTTTTTTATACTATTGAATTCAGTGGCTACCAGCAACTGTTTGGTTACCAATATTCTTCAAAAAATCCTCTTTTGTGTTCAGGTTTGGAACAATGAAATGCAATGCAGTACTTTCTTCCTGCATAACACTTTTTAAAAGTAGTGTATACTTTAAAATTCTTCTTCAAAATCTGCATCATAATTTTTGTAAATTGTATGCTGTTGTCTTAGCTCTGCTAAAAAGCTTCCCATGTAAAAATGTCATTGTACTTAGTATGCTGTATCCTGTACATATGACAATAAAACAATTTTGACTTGACTTTGACTTACTAGTCTGTAGGACAGAAAACTTGCCAATGAGATTTCTTTAAAATCGTAATACCTCAAAAAATACCTCATTTCACTATTTCTCCTAGCCTGCAATATGATAAAATGGAGAGCAAACAGACACTTTTGCTGAAGTCACCTGCTTGTCAGATTTTTTTTTCTCCCGAGCAAAATCTCCAGTAATTTCATGTCTCCATTGGAGTTTTAGGAAAGATCTTAAAGGGGTCATATGATGCTGCTAAAAAGAACATTATTTAGTGAGGGGCGGCCGGTGGGCTAGAGAACGGCGTGGCCGGTGGATTCAACGAAGGAGCGGCCGGTGGGCTTGTGGCAACCACATGTGACGACCCCGGGCTGGACTCCGCTTCGTC